AAAAATCGACCCGTGGTAATGATATGCGATTGTAGAACACTTTCAACCATGAAAACCATATTTTATGAACTTTTTTTTGCTAATTGTCGTCAAGTTTCACTTTGTATATTTTATAATAAATACCAATTTAATCGCACTCAATCGCCGCCCCTCCTTCGTTTTCTTTGTTTGTTTTCATTCTTAGGCAGATGTCAAAAACGCTCAGCAATATACTTTTTTCTTGCTTCTTTGATTAGGTGATCTTGTATGTTTGGTTCATGGTGGCTACCAGAGCTGGGTAAATGCAACTACATTACAATTATAATTACATTCCTCAGTAATTGTAATTAGGAATCAATTCCATCAGTTCATAGCAAAGGAATCGATTACTTTCTCAATTCCTTGAAGTAATTTCAAATGGAATTGTTTTTTTCTTTAATTCCATTACAAGGAATTTCATATTGTAATTGGAATAAATTACGTGCTAGTAATGTAATTTTTTTTTTCAATTCATTTGAAAGGAATTTTAAAATGTAATTGATTTTTTTCAAATTCCATTCCTCAAAGTAATTTAAAAAGTAATCGAAAAATTTATAAAAAAAAAAATGTTTGCTGTTGAATTGCAATAGCTTCGTTAAATTTCTTGGTTGCTAACTGCCTTGAATAAATAACTTATACCTAAGTAGTATTACTAATTGGACTTTAAGAAATCTGAATAACTTAAACTGTAGCTGTTCAGTTTATAGGGTAACCGTTAAATTTTCCAGATCCTACCGCGAACGCGCTTCGCGGCAGATGAGGCCCGTAAATGTCGAAGCAGGCATAAACCGCCCGAACACTTTCATGCTCGCCTTTCGGTGAAGAACAGTCCGGACTGTTGCTGACTTGGGCACTGCTGTTCTCTTGGACTAATCCCTGCGTATCTATAAAAATGCACTGACTTAATTGTGTATATTATGGTACCCTTAAAGCTACCCAAAATGGCGTGCCTTCTGGGGCCTTTGAAGTATTCTTACTGGTATCCTGCGTTACAAATGAGGAAAGAGTCCGCTTGAATTACGAGCCCTGTCGGACTGGAGATCCTACCTCCTAAGAGTTTTATAAACAAATTGCATTGCTATGGCTAAATTTTGATGATAACACTGTAAGGACGTTAAAATTACACAAAAAGATAAGGTCATTTAGTCGTTATTTTCATTTTAAGTTTGCATTGCAAATGAAAAAAATTCAAACTTTAACATGGAAAAGTTACTCTTACGCCATATATGAGTACGGTCAAGTTGATAATCCTATTGAAAATATTTCCAAATCAAGATTTCTCAAATACCTTTCGTTTTGTACTTATACTGTAATATTTCAATTATTTTGTCAATTTAATTGAGTTAAATTTGCAAACAGGTGACAAGCCTCTTCGAAAATATTTTTGACTGTAAGTCTTCTTAAAACTCTCTAGTTTGACACCCACTTTGCAATATTTCGTTTATTTTATCAATTTAACTGAGTTAAAATTATCAAATAGGTGGCAACACTCCTAAAGAGTATCTCCAATGGTTATCTTTTTTAAACTTCTTAAGTTTGATACCCGCATTGCAATAGTTCATTTATTTTATCAGTTATCAGTGGCAACCCTCCACATTTTTATATCGTTAATTATTCCAGTATTATACCGAACAAAAAAAAAAATTTCAAATCAGTTTAGCCGTTCTCGAGTTTTGAAGCCTCGTACAAACGAACAAAACTTTTTATATATACTCATTATACATAGATATAGATAGAAGATTTCAATCTTTGACCACAACAAAAATTCCACATTTTACATTCGTGAATGAACTTTCAGTTTCTCGATTACTTTAATAATTACTTTGAGTGATTGAAAAAACTAAAGTACTCTTGCAATTCCAGGTAATGGAGTTTAAAAAAATCAATTAAATTTTCAGTTCCTTTCAAAGGAATTGGAAAAACCAAATTACATTACTAGCACGTAATTTGATCCAATTATAATATGAAATTCCTTGTAATGGAATAAAAAAAAAAAAAAAACAATTACATATGAAATTACTTCAAGGAATTAAGAAAGTAATCGATTCCTTTGCTGTGGACTGAAGTAATTGATTCCTAATTACAATTCCTTGTAATTTGTAATTGGGAGTAATTTAATTCCTAAAGGAGTCATTATAACCCAGCTCTGGTTGCTACCCATGGACCGCCTGAAAAGCTGAAAATAAATAATAATAAATTATTCAAATTCACGTCTTCATTTACATGGCTTATATCTGTTTGTTTTGGGTGTTGACATCTCTGTTTTGACTGACGAATGTCAAAGTCAATAAAAGTACCAAAAGGAAAATGTTGCCAGATTGCGAAGTGCTATTCAGAGAGGTGGGAAAATCATTAGAAGAGAGACAGATATATGCCGAACGGGTCAGATTACGGAAAACGGTGGTTAAAACGGATGACGGTAGAAAACAAGGCTATATAAAGGAGTCCACTGTGGACCGTAAGGATAATATTGTCGGTGGAAACTGTAATGTTAACTGCCCTCTACTTGCGCGCAAACATGGGCATTCTAGGGCGATAAATCCGCGTAAAAGAAAGGTTCGAATTAAAAAAAAAAAGTATTAAGTACAACTTAAAAAAAGGAACGGCGCATGTGTAACACAAGCAAAAAGGAGGCGAAGGAAACCCGTTGGCTCGCTCATGGCCGGCAGATATAATACGAAGGAGGAGTTGTGGGAGAGCAGATTGGCGCCCGGAGGCAATTGAACCCACCGGCGCCTGTACAGCAAGACATATATTCATACCACGGATTTTTTCATCAGGATAAACCCCCCAGCGAGATGTGAGTAAACGCAGGGGAAATTTTGTTTGTTAATGTTACCAGATTGTAATATTACTTGTGTGTTCCCAGTGTACCAGGAAGTTATTCAATTGCACGCCCAGGAGATTAGTTCAGATGTACTTAAAGGCAGTAGGGCGCGGCACAACTCGCTGGTTAGTGCTAGGGTTAAGGTATTTCATTTACACAGAAGCTTTTATGCAACTTTATGGCTCACGCGAACGGAAAACTCCAAAAATAGAAATATCGTCGGATTCGGAGTTTCATGGTTCTGGTCAGCCGAGACGACCACCACAATCCCATAAAATATAAGAACCCCTATTTAATTTTTTACATGGATATTATTGATATACATATATCGTCACTAGACCCGAATAAAGGCCCGCCATTGTTTTGACCGCGAAAAAGGACGCATTGACGGAAAAAGACGCTTAAAAAAAACTTCGGCGAAAATAGACGCGTAAACCTAGTTGACGGTAAATAAAGACGCATAAACATAGATTTATACCTAGCCAAAGACTGTCACTTCAGCATTATTCCCCAAAACTCTGTACATACAATTACACCCGCAAATATAGTTGATCGCAAAAAAAGTTTACCCGTCTTTCTTCGCCGTCAAATAGGTGTACGGGTCTTTCTGCACCGTCGACTAGGTTTAGACGCCTTTATTAGCTGAAGTTTTTTTATGCGTCTTTTTTCGCGGTCAACTTCTGAGCTCGCGTCTTTATTCGTGTCTAGTGACGATATATATATATATACTTGTACATTAACCGTGGTGTTTCTTAGTATCCTTTATATTCGTATAAGTTTTTTTAAGCTGCCCCTTGGGCCCATCAGTTAAAAGAACCCAACAAGGTAGATTGTTATTAATCTGAGCGGAGAGTATCCGGCTCCTGGAAACACCTACATACCGACTGAAAAGAGCTCTTTTAGGTAAGGTGATAGGGTTCCAGCTTTTTTTGTAAAGTTATATGAACTTCAATAAACTTGTTTGGTCCCTTTTTTTATGGCGGTAATATAAGTAACTTTAGATTTTGATATTTGTTATGAATTTGAATTCCTTTTTGTTCATATTTAAATGCTATTTTCTGTGTTTGTCCATAAAAATTTTGTTGTACATTTGAAATTTAAAAAAAGGAGACATCTGAAATGAGCAGTCCATGGTCGGGTGGGCTTCCTATTGGCAAAGGTATGCGGATGAACGACGCTTCATTGTGGCATGGGTTGAGAACCACGGCCACATAATTTCTGAGCTAGCTAGGGCCGCCACAATGATAGCCAAACAAAAGAGCGGTAATCTGTACGTGACAAATTGTTTTGAAAGGCTGTCTGTCATCTATCCAAAATGTATTCAACATAGTGTGATTGAATTTGGTACTGCACTCGTAAGAACTATGCTATAAAGTCAAATTTAAAAAATTTTATGAATTTTGAATCGTTTGTTTATATTTTTTGACACTATAGTACCTTAAAAGAGAGTCGCACTGAGTTGTCAATCACACCCTATTTAATACACCTTGCATCTATCTAAATAAAAATTTTAATCATTTTACATGTGTTTAAAATACAATCAACCTAATTACAGTGTCTTTACTAAGCATTTAAAAGAAAACTTTTTCGATGGGGAAGATGACGATAACAGCAACATTTAAGTGAATGTTTCGGAGACCAATGCGTAATTAGAACCGATTCCACCCGTGCCGCCAACTGACTGTGCCGATGACTTGTCATTTTCACAAACGAGCCTTCTGTTACTTGATAGAACATGTTTCAAGACCTCACTTGAAGAGTGTTTGGGTCACGGCGTTTCGTATGAAATGTCCAAGAGATGTCATAACTGAAGTTAAAGGATATCATAGCTGTACATCGAACTTTGGTGTAGTTAATAGGGAAGGATAGTCGAACATTGCCCAACCATTCGATTATTCGAATGAGTAGCGTTTGATTGTCAAAATTTTGTGTTTCGCTATTGAGTGAATGAAAATTTGAGAGTGTTTGTATTTTCTGTAGCCCCTTTTTCATTCCGGGAAGGTTAGCTGAAATTAAACAATGACCCGCTAAAAGCGAAAACAAAATACAAGTAATTGTATTTGTTGAATCGATACCACCTTATATGCATTCGTCTTGAACGAATATCATTTATGTATATTTGTCATAATGATTACACATGTTCTTTTATTTTTAGCACGCTCCAGGCATTCCAAAAATATTAGTTGGTAACCGACTACATCTTGCCTTTAAAAGACAAGTCCTTGCTAAAAATGCTGAGCTTTATGCTTCTCGAAACAATATGTCGTGCTTTGAAATATCTCCTCTTTGTGATTTTAACATCCGAGAATCTTTTTGTGAACTTGCCCGAATGGCCCTGCATAGGAATGGCATGGAACGGATCTGGCGAAATAATAAAGGTAATACTTCAAATAAATCTATATACATACTTAAAAATATTGTGTTCGTATGTCACGGTCGTCAAAACTCGAGAACGGCTGAACCGATTTCAACAATTTTTTTTTGTATTGTTCGGTATAATACCAGAACCAATGATATCGCAAAAAATTGGAGGGTTGCCACCTGTTTGAAAAATTTTAAACCCAATTATGTTGATAAAATAAATGAATTATTACAATATGGGTATCAAATTAAAGAGGTTTAAGAAATATAACTGTTGGAAATATTTTTTATGAGGGTTGCCACCTATTTGAAAATTTTAACTCAGTCAAATTTATAAAATAAATGAAATGTTGCAATGTGGGTACAAAATTAGGTAGGTTTAAGAAAGATAACTGCTGGAAATGCCTTTGAGAAGGGTTGCCACCTATTTGAAAATTTTAACTCAGTTAAATTGATAAAGCAAATAAAATATTGCTATGTGGGTGTAAACTAAAGAGTTTTAAGAAGGTTTACAGCCGAAAATATGTTTGAAGAGGGTTGCCACCTGTTTGAATATTTAACTAAATTTAATTGATAAAATAAATGACATATTACAATATAGGTATAAAATTAAAGGAGTTTAAGAAAGGTGATTGTCGGAAATATTTTGGAGGAGGTCTGAAAATTTTAACTCAATTAAATTGATAAAAGAAATGAAATATTGCCACGTGGGTATCAAACTAAAGAGTTTTAAGAAGGCTTACTGCCGAGACTATGTTTGAGGAGGGTTACCACCTGTTTGAAGATCTAACTAAGTTTAATTTATAAAATAAATCACATTACAATATAGGTATAAAATTAAAGAGGCTTAAGAAAGATGACTGTAGGAAATACTTTTGAGGAGGGCTGCCACCTATTTTTATTTTAGCTCAGTTAAATTGATAAAATAAATGAAATATTGCAGTGTGGGTATTAAACATTAGATTTTTAAGAAGGGCCGAAAATAAGCTTGAGGAGGGTTGCCACCTGTTGGAAAATTTGACTCAATATAATTGATCAAATAAATGGTATCAAATTAAAGAAGTTTAAAAAACAGACTGTAGGAAATATTTTTGAGGAGGGCTGCCACCTATTTGAGAAGTTTAGCTCAGTTAAATTGATAAAATAATTGAAAAGCTGCATTGTGGTTAATAAACTTTAGATTTTGAAGAAGGCTTGCAGTCGAAAATATGTAGGAAGAGGGTTGCCCACTGTTTGAAAATTTAACTCAATTTAATTGATAAAATAAATGACTTATTACAATAAAGGTATCAACTTAAAGACGTTTAAAAACATGACTGTTCGAAATATTTTTAAGGAGGGTTGCCACCTATTTGATAATTTGAACTCAGTTAAATTGATTAAACAAATGAAATATGGCAATATGGGTATCAAACTAAAGAGCTTTAAGAAGACTTACGGTCGAAAATATGTTTGAAGAGGTTTGCCACCTGTTTGAAAATAAAACTCCATTATGCTTGAAATACAATACCGGCGAACGGCAAATTTCGCCGAACTGGGCGATGCTGTCGTTCACCGTTCGCCCAACTATTTCGCCTACTTAAACAGAATTAGAGCGGTAGCGAAAACAGCTGATCCCATTTGGTCGCCTTTATAATTTGGGTGACCATATTTAGAAAAAACTAAACCATATTTAGAAATGAGGAAATGATAACAAATATAAATGTAAAACAAAGAAAGATTATTATAAATAATTTGTTTCAAGCCAGATTTAACGAATCCACAACTATATTTTTCAAACAACAAAAAAAAAA